TGCTAACATGACACGTGGCAGACGCGGAACATAACCGCACACAGATGAGAACAACGCGCAGAACAAACACGAGAGGGTTCGGAACGGTCACAAGTGGCACATTTGTACGAGCAACATAAGATGGAGCAGCCGAAGACGAAACACAAATACAAAATGACTGGAGGAGGAGCATGGACCGACGGTCCAGCCATACATTTGTAACGACTGTTGAAATAAGGCTTGCCGTAGCTTTAAGAGGCCGCGAAGCGAGCCGCTTTCGTAACTCAAGGTGCGTTCACCTACGGTCAAGGCGGCAAGTGCAGCACAAGAAGCCAAGTCAGCCCGACTGTCATAGCAAGCAGTTTGACCTGTCTATGACACCAAATCTACATTCCCCTAGCCGCGAGGGACGTGACTCGACTTAGACGTATGACTACGTAACACTCCAGACCCTGACTAATTCGACAATCACACCGGCATTTCCGCGTCGTCACACCCTCTTTCTGGCAGACTACAAGACGTCCCACGCTGCACGCACGACCGAGGGACGGCTCCGGGCCGAGCAACACCGGAGAACACTGAGGGGACAGCTGGCGGCACCCCCAGCAGGCTGACGAGCCGCCGAGCGCGGCCGAACGCCGGCTGGTGCGCTGGGAGGCGCCGCGCACCGCGGACGTCACAGCCCGGGCGGGCAGACGGCACCCGAGCGCGAGGGGTGCGGCACGGCGCGGCAGCTCCAGCGGGTCGGCCAGTCCTGCTGCGTCCGCCGCCGTCCAGCCCGCGGGAAGTCTTGTTCACGGCAGACGCATTGCAAACCGCCAAACCAACGGCACGCGCAATCCACGGCTCAACCGCAAGCCAAGTCCCAGACGCACCGCCGATCTAGTTTACGAACTGCTCCCTACACAGACTCCGGCGTCACGGTCACGCACGAGCTCCGAGCCGAGACCCCGGCATCATACGGCAGCACACTCCCTCAGATTCACGTACGAGCTCTGCGCCGAGACCCTGGCGTCACACGGAGGCGCACACTCACAGTCACGCACGAGCTCCGCGCCGACACCGCGGTTGTCACACGGAGGCGCACCTCCGCAGTTCACGCACGAGCTCTGCGTCGAGACTCCGTCGTCACAGAGGGGCGCACCCTCAGCCACGCACGAGCTCTGCGCTGCGCTCACAGATCACAGGGCGACTGCGCGGCTGGCGGCGGTGGCGGCGGCGGCGGGCGCGTTCTCCTTGCCGGCCGGCCAGCGGCGGCGGCTCCAGAGGGCGCGGGCCGCCGCCTGCAGGCTGGGCCGCCGGCTGACGGCCGCCGGCGTCACCGCGTAGCGCCGGTGCGGCGGCTCGAACCGGCTGCGCAGCACCGAGAACTTGCGCCGCGGGCTGGCGGCGGCCGGCGGCCGACACGGCCGCCAGAGGGCCTGCGCTGCGGGCCCGGCTGCCTCTGGGCTTCAGGGTTGACTCGCCGCGGCTCGGAATCGACCCGTCGGTGGTCTTGTTTGACGTGGTGCAAGTCTACGTCTCGCTGAGGTCCGGACCGGACCAGCTGTGTCTCGCGCCACTCAGCGGGATCAAGAGGCGCCCCGTTTGTCGCCTCGCGGCGCGCCTGCGTCTGCGCAAGGGGTCGCCGCGGCGCGCCCCTGCTGCGGCGACAGCACGCCTGCCACCCGGCCGCGCGTAAATGGCCACTGGCGGCGAGCGCGGGGACTCGTAGTCTGCGGCGCCGCCGTCGGGTGGCGCCACCAGCACGGCTGGGTCCAGGCTGGTGTTGAGCCGCCGCCGGCCGCCGCCCTCGCCGCTCAAATCATCCGTCGAGCGCGACCGCCGCGACGCCTGGCGACGCGGCGGCGAACTGAACAGCGCCGACACGCCCGAGCGCTCGACGGCCGTCGATCGTGGCCACGAGCAGGCTGGAGTCGCGCGTCGGCCCAGCCGCCTGGGGGCTCGCCTCGGGCACGGGCGGCGCCGGCGGCGCGTCCTCCAGGTGCGCGATCATCAGCGCCACGTTGTCGGTGTTCTCGTACGTGTGCCGGCCGCCGGCCGGGCCCTCCTGGTCGGCCGGCTCCGTCGCCGAGTCGTCCAGGCGGCCGGCGCGCTCGGTGACGACGCTGTAGTTGTGCGCGCTGTCGCCCACGTCCGAGTAGGCGCGCCAGGCACGCACGCCCAGGTCTGCCCGGTGCACGTTGACGGCGATGACGTTCTCGTAGTCGGGCGGCGGCGCCGAGGTGGCCGACGTCATGCGGCTGTGGTTGGCGCAGGTGGAGTCGCCGTCGACGGCCGGCGCCGGCCGGCCCGGCGACAGCGTCACGTCACCTTCCGACACGGCGTCCAGCTGCGGGATGTCGGAGGCTCGCGGCTCCGACGCTGCGGCGCGGGACACGCGCGGTCACCCGGGGCCGGCATGGGCCGTGTCAGCTCACTTGTCATCGACAGCCACACCGACTCACTAGCTCAGCTGTCAGGTCAACAAGTCCTACCCAGGGGCTGCTCCATCACGGGTCACGTGACACCACCAGAGGTGCAATGCGCTCATCACGGAGTAGAACAAATCATGCTTTAAGAGTGTAAGGGTCTGGACAGCGACCCAACTGCCAGATTATTGAGAGGCGGCATGGAATTACATGGAGGCCCCAATGATCATGTTCCTGTACGCGGATCCAGGAATACAAATGCAGTGAAATCAACGAGTTCATGGTCAATAAACGAAAAACCCAACGCTGCGTAGTCCGCATCTTCCCCTCCAGCAATGTCCTCCTAAGCCTCTCCCCATGCGCGGCGTACCTGCGCTCGCCTCTGGCTCGTGGGCGACCGTCTGCAAAATGGCCGCCGCCGATTGGTGGCGGCGCTCAGCGGCGGCCCCGTGACCGCGCCCGGCTGGGAGGCTGGCGGCCGAGCGGGTCACGTGACCGGCGGCGGCAGCGGCGGCGGCAGCGTTCAACAGCTCGGAGGCCGAGTGGAAGGGCTTGTCACGCGGGACCGCTGCCGCCCCCGGCTGCGGGAGTGACGTCACAGCAGCCGGCGATGACGTCACAGGGTCGGGTTGTGACGCCAGAGAGACGCCGCCGGCCGAGCGGAGGCTGCCGGGAGACGGGACAGAGTCAGACCATACCCGGAGTGCGACCTAGCGCCGGGCCGATAACCACAGGCAATCACCGCTCAGTTGCCTGGACAGATTCACTGTTCATCACCGCCCGAAGACATATCCGTCAATCCCCAATTCACCTGGGACTGCGCATAACGTAACCTACACTGTTCTGCCGCACGCATTCGTTCTGCCTTCCACGCTACGGTTCGCTGAATGATTCAATGAAATGTGATGACCGCATAACGAAAAAACCGCCTTCGGTCAACTCTTCAGTGAAAGGGGAGGGATCAATGCGCTAGAAAAGTCACACAGCAGCTGCGTACAGTAGTTCAGTGGCCGGGCCAGCAGGTCAGAGGCCAGGCCAGCAGTTCCGCGGCCAGGCCTGGACGGCCGGGCCAACAGTTCGGCGGCCGATGCTGGGCCCCCGGCTGGCTGCCGTACCTGGTGAGCGAGATGCGCGGGGCTGGCCGGCACTTGAGCGAGCGGAGCGTGCCTCCGTCGCCGGGCGGCGGCTGCGGTGCGTCGGGTCCGCCCGGCGCCGCCTCCGGGTCCGGCCGGCCTCCGCCGCCGCAGCCGCCCGCGTTTGGGTGAAACAGCCGGTAGTAGAGCAGCATGACGGCGGAGCCTGCGGCGAGCGACGCCACGTGACGGCATTGACTGTTGCGTTTGGTAGCTACACTGGTAAACGATCCTGCCCGCCCATTTAGCGCCGACGCGACTGACGCCGGGCTGGGCCGTGACAGACTCGAATGTGTCGCGCTCCGGTTCTCAGCACTCTACCACACAGCTTGCGGTGGAGTGCGGAGGCCATGTCGATGACTGTAGGGCCACCCACATGGTCACTGGCGGACATCAGGCATCGGGATACTAATACGGACATCAGAGGCAGAAGAACAGAAGAGCCGCCACCAGACAACGGAGCCGACGTGGTGGCTGCAAGTCGGGGACCAGCACCAGGCATGGCCCTTCATCAGACATCGCCAACCGGACACGCCCCTTCCCCGCTGGCTGATGTGCGGGGCGGCCTCTCTACACGGGCTGCTCATGATTACATGGCATGACTGCACAGCCGTGGTCATTTTGACGGCCGCGAGGCTCGCTCCCGCGCTCCATAACTGGCCGTGCGACCCGCTCCCGCGCCCCACAACTGACCGCGAGGCCCGCTCCCGCGCCCCATAGCTGGCCACGAGGCCCGCTCCCGCGCCCCATAGCTGGCCGCACGGTCCGCTCCCGCGCCCGACGGCGAGCCGCTGGTGAGCGTGCCGCGGCCTCGTCGGCTTGTGAAAGGACGGCCGTCTATGTCCAGCGCCACGGGCCGCGCCAGTCAGGCAAGGCGGTGCCATCAGTCACACCGCGCCAGTTAACAGTGTGCACGCACCGCATCCGCCACGGCCACCGGCTGGCCGCCCGGGCAGCAGCGGCCATGGCGTGAGGGCTGGACAACACAGACTGAACCTGCACAGCAGCCTCGCCCGGCGCGGACTGCAGCCGCACGCAGCCGGCCGCGGACCTACCCAGGACGGTGCCGGCGGGGATGTTCACCAGCAGCGCCGTGTATAGCCAGTCGCCGGGGCGCGGCCAGTAGAAGAAGAAGAGCATCGCCAGGACGCCGTTCTCGGCGAACGTCAGCGCGTAGAAGGCAAGCATGCGCCAGCGGGCCGGCGTCTCCTGGCGGCGGGCGGCGGAACCATCAGACGCTCCGGCAGAGCGCACTCGGAGCGGGTGTCGGCTCGACGAGCGTGCTGGGACGGAACACACTGCCGCGCCGCCGTGTGGTGAGGGCGCCTAGCGCGGCTCGTCACGCAGCTGACTAACGTCACCAGCAGCGGGCACACGGCTGATGCAGGTACAGATCCACCGCAAGGGAGTGCATCATCCACGGAGAGTGCGCATGAAACACAGCGGAACAGATCAGCTTGGAGCACATCAACGCAGCACTCACATACGCGCCGTCCACTATGAGCCACCGACAGTGAATGAGAAAGGGGCCTGCTCCCCGGAGATCGCCCAAAAATAATCATCTGATACTACGTAGGACGAACTTAAATTAGCTGTACATTCACTTGTGTATGTCATGCTAAGCGACCTAAGGACTACAAAGTTCTCAAGCTTTTTGGTCTCCAAATTCACTGTTACTAATTTCGGCAAAACAAACCGCAACATCGAGACAAAACACGACCAAATCGAGACGCGGCTAGATCAGTCACCACGTCCACGGCGTGTGAAGCGTCTCCATGGTTACCGAGCATGGCTACCGACCCCTGGTCTGCTCGCCAGAGGTCCGCAGTGTGGGAGCGTCGTACCGGACCCAATCCGAGCGACGCCACCGGCAGACTCGACTCCGGGCCACCGGCCGCCCACCGCCGACCCTGGCTTCGGCTCACCCGCTGGGAAACGGAGTGGCATGCGGCTCGTTCTGGTGAGCAGGAAGCACGTGCCAAGCGTTAGCCGGTGCCACGGGGCGCGAGGCCGCAGTCTGCCCATGCTTAGGGTGGCTCACATGATGAGAAGACGCAGGCCAATCACCAGACCGCAGACACGACCGCCGGACACCGGCCATCGAGGCAGCCAGCGGCGAGCATCGCTGCTGCACTCACTCCCCTATCGAGGTGCCACGTTCGGGGCGGGGCATGCGCATGTGACGTGGCTGCCGCGCAGGCACGGCTCTCCGAAACACTAGCCTAAAGAGGAGGGTCGTTTTTTTACGTGCAACATTCTGCAGTGACCAGGTGTCGGCGCGCATGCAAAACGGGTTATATCAACGTTAGAAAAGTTGACAGCCGACAAGACCGCATCGACACAACTGCATGCATTCATCATGTCGACGTCCGATCATGCCACCCCATCCCCTGCCATTTCCACCCACCCCATCAGCACCCCACGGAGCGCAGACCCACCACCTCTCCATACAGCACCCATCCGCCCACCTTGACGTTGAAGAAGGAGAAGCAGTAGATGGCGCCGACGACGGTGTTGAAGAGTCGCTCCTCGGCGGGCGTGGGGAAGAGGTCGGTGCGCTGGGCCAGCACCCAGCCGGTCATCAGCAGCCAGCGGACGGCCAGCAGCAGCAGCACCCAGCCGGAGTACAGCAGCGAGAACGCCAGCAGAGCGGACGTGCGCGCCAGCAGGAGACACAGGCGCCAGAGCAGCTGCCGGAGGCGCGGCGGGACGGCGGCGTGAGGCAGACGACGCCGCTGAGCCGGCGGGAGGCGGGAGCGGGCGCTCAGCAGCCACCTCGGCCGCCACACCGAGTGCCGGCAACACGGCCGGCGAGCCGTTGTGACGGACACGCCCAACACGACATAACAGAGATGACAACGGTTCAGCTGCTGGCCGGGCGTCTAACACGCGCTTGGTCGACAGCGCCAATCAGTCCATCACTGCACAGAAGCAAATCCCGCTCGTGATATGGTCTGACACGCAGCACGCCACTGGGGCACCGAATCAAGGCGACCGCCGCTCACCCAGGGCGGCTGAGCGGCCCACGTACCTGCAAGGTGGCAGACGGCCTCATACTGAGCGGCCCACGTACCTGCAGGGCGGCAGGCGGCCTCATACTGAGCGGCCCACAAACCTGCAGGGTGGCAGACGGCATCATACTGAGCGGCCCACAAACCTGCAGGGTGGCAGGCGGCCTCATATTGAGCAGCCCACATACCTGCAGGGTGGCAGACGGCATCATGCTTGGTGGCCCACAAACCTGCAGGGTGGCAGGCGGCCTCATACTGAGCGGCCCACATACCTGCAGGGTGGCAGACGGCCTCATACTGAGCGGCCCACGTACCTGCAGGGTGGCAGGCGGCCTCATACTGAACGGCCCACGTACCTGCAGGGTGGCAGACGGCCTCATACTGAGCGGCCCACGTACCTGCAGGGTGGCAGACGGCCTCATACTGAGCGGCCCACGTACCTGCAGGGTGGCAGACGGCCTCATACTGAGCGGCCAACGTACCTGCAGGGTGGCAGGCGGCCTCATACTGAGCGGCCCACGTACCTGCAGGGTGGCAGACGGCCTCATACTGAGCGGCCAACGTACCTGCAGGGTGGCAGGCGGCCTCATACTGAGCGGCCCACGTACCTGCAGGGTGGCAGACGGCCTCATACTGAGCGGCCAACGTACCTGCAGGGTGGCAGACGGCCTCATACTGAGCGGCCCACGTACCTGCAGGGTGGCAGGCGGCCTCACGCTGAGCGGCCCACGTACCTGCAGGGTGGCAGACGGCATCATACTGAGCGGCCCACGTACCTGCAGGGTGGCAGGCGGCCTCGTGCTGAGCGGCCCACGTACCTGCAGGGTGGCAGCCGTCCAGCCCAGCGGCCGCTTGTCGCCCCGGGACTTGCGCATCCACTTGGCGTACGAGGCGTTGCTCCAGGCCAGCGAGAGGAGCGAGAGCGCCGCGCTGACAGCTGAAACGCGGCACCGGCGCCGTTGGTGGACGCGGAGACACGCACACCCGCGGGTCACGTACCGTGTGCGTGTCTGCGGCTGCCTGGCAGGCGTGCCTGTGTCATACTATCTCTGACAGTGCAGCTCGGGTGAGTTACAGGGAGAGCCTGTTTACGGTGTCGAGTCTTGTTGAGGATAACAGCACAGATGTCACCGGCGCAAACCGTGTATTCCGTACACATTTCACTGGCTTAGCATAAAAGACGGCGGGGATTGGCTGAAATCACACCATAGCCAGGCAGTTACGGGAATCGATAAACAGTCTGGCATTCTGTCGCATGCCATTTAGAGGTGCCTGCAGCTCCCGCTCGAGACGCAAATCAAGGTCGTAACAACCAAAGTCGACGTCCTCCTTACTTTAGCTTACGTCTCAGCTTCCCATTGTATTTGAACGCGAGGAAATCTGTATCCAAGCAATCAATACGTGCGTGTGTCTAACTGGGACGAGAAAGATCAGCAGGTAGATTGGACCAGTCGTTGTCACAGAGACGATGCTATCGCAGGAAAGCGCCGCACGCCGCACCCCAGTCAGGAAAACAGAGCACCGGCGGGAAACAGGACACACACGGTGTGATGCATTTCCTGCTGCGATTAGCCGCCCCACACTTCTGAGGTCCCCGCTGACCCAGCCCGAGGCCGCCAATCCCGGATGAAGTAACGAGGAGGCTGGGCCCTGACCAACTGAACCAGCGCCAGCCGTCCCTGAATTTGGACGAGGTGCGACCGAGCAGTGTCACTGGCTTGCGAAACTGCTCACATCACTAACTGCCTGACTATGAGATACCCGTCCCTAGAAAGGGCGACGGTTGACCAGGGTCTTTCTTTGACAGTGCACCAGCCGCCTCCGTTCCTGGACGAGGGGCGACGGCTGAGCGAGGTCCCTGTTTGACAGGACACCAGCCGCCTCCGTTCCTGGACGAGGAGCGACGGTTGAGCGAGGTCCCTGTTTGACAGGACACCAGCCGCCTCTGTCCCTGGACGAGGGGTGACGACTGAGTGAGGTCCCTGTTTGATAATGCACCAGCCGCCCCGTAGCTGGACGGGGGACGACGGCTGAGCAGGGTCCCTGTTTGACACTGCACCAGCCGCTTTCGTCCCTGAACGAGGGGCCACGGCTGAGTGAGGCCCCTGTTCCACAATGCACCGTCCGCCTTCGTCCCTGGACGATGGACGACGGAGTGGTATCCCCGACTGACCCTGCACCAGCTGCCAGCCGTCCCTGGACGAGGTGACGTAGACCTGCAGTAGCAACTGCGGCGCCGACTCCAGGTAGCTGAGGAACAGCTGCAGCATGCTGACGTCACTGCTCTGCTGCAGGTACACCTGCCGCACGTAATGACGTCACATCAGCTGATGCCGAACGCGAGCGTGGGACAACTGAAAAGCATGACAATAAACGAGAGCAGGCAATGAGTTTACATGGTGCAGATGCTGCTGTGTGCATGCAATGTTTGAATAATACTTAAAACACATACTCAACTTTGAAGGGTTGTTGCAAATGCATATATACTGTGAAAATTTATGCCAAGTTACATGCCACAAACTCTGAGTACATGAGCACAGCGCACACAGCGAGTTACATACATGACACCCTGTAATGAGAGCCTCTGCACATGCCCTGACCACGGCTCAGCGTCAGGTCGGGAGCGGACCGTTACCGAGCAGCCCACCTGCACCAGGGGGTCCACACCTCCTCACCATTGAATCGTCGTAGGACTTTGTACGGCGCATACGCCGACCATCGGAAAACTGACTCACAAGCCTGAAGACGGTGAAGGTTAGTTAGAGGATACATCACATGCGACGTAAGCACGCACCAGTGCAAGGCAGTCGCAACAGGTGGCGAGACTGCTGGTTAGCATAATGGACATGTCCCAGTATGAAAGTATAGTCACACTAAATAAAAATGGAGATACTTTTGGGAATGAATGTTTCATTCATTTAGTTCTGCCCTGTGAGATTACAACCCCAGGATTAGCAAACTACAGCCTAATCAGCTGCATTCGTAGCCATCGCGGGAGGTTACTAAAGACTTCTGGGCCCAGTGAGCATCCAGACTTTTCTCCAGAATAAGGCAACACAATGGCCTCAGATCTCACATCAGCTGACCACGACAATGAGGAGAACCACTCATCCGGGACACAGACCTAAGAAAGAGGCCCAGCTGGCAGCAGTGCACGACCAGCAGGCTGGTGGTGGCCTCCTGGTCGTGCACGTGCCAGCGGTACGAGATGACGTGCACCAGCGCCTGGGGCACCACCACGATCAGCACGGTCAGCAGGCCCCAGGTCAGGTCGCCCGAGCTCAGGTACGTGTGGATCAGCACCACGTCTGCGGCGAAAGCGGGCACCAGTCAGCGGCCGCGCCGAGCAGCTGCGGCACAGCTGGCAAGGAGGGCAGTCGAGAAATTGTCAGACCGAGCAGCTGCGGCACAGCTGGCAAGGAGGGCAGTCGGGACATTGTCAGACCGAGCAGCGGCGGCACATCTGGAAAGGAGGGCAGTCGGGACATCGTCAAACCGAGCAACTGCGGCACAGCTGGCAAGGAGGGCAGTTGGGACATTGTCAGGCCGAGCAGCTGCGGCACAGCTGGCAAGGAGGGCAGTCGGGACATTGTCAGAATGAGCCATCAATGGTCATGGTGAAAGACAGGCGCAGCAAGCAGCAGTGAAACATTTCTGCAAGAAATAAGCCAAAATATATGCAGGTGGACGAGTCTGAAGAGTTGGTGCTTGCTGACAGAATGTACCTGAAAGCATGAAAATTTGAAGCGGAAATGAAGTAGAATGAACCTATGGAGCTGAATCACGAAGAAAATGAGCCTTTCACCTTTAGTACACAAATTCTCATCATAACTTTTCGGGATGGCAGGACCAAAATTTGAATCATATGCCAGATATTGTTTCTCAGAGCAATGGCTAGAGTTAATATCAATGGCATCAAACTTAAGACGTGGGAGTTCTTTACTAGGGGTGGGGTTGGGCGAGTTGTGGTAGTTATGTTGCAACAAAATTTGTGACCTTTGTCACTATTTTGATGTGCAATTTTGTCTCACATAAGGAACAAATTACCACTTTCGTAAGATCAGAGCCATTTGAGAAAGAGGCAGAAAGCTGATGGCAAGCAACTGTTTCTGACCATATCTGAAGTCCATCACCCCAGTTGTTCTTCCCAACTTTACCTGATAAACTTTCCAGTCAATCTGTTTTTTTATGGCCAAATGGGAGTGAGGAGAAGCCAATTCATTGAGCCATATAACGATGCAGCCTGGATGCCCCAAGTGAGGCAAATATTTTGACCAGCTGTTAGCTGACCTGATGATGATGATGAGGGCAAGGAGTGTGGCATTTTAGATCTTGAAACCTGTAATGCTAGTTGCCGCAGGGTATGTATCTGCCCCAAATCATGAACAGAACAAAATACGGGGAAGACCTGCACCTGCATGCCGGACTGCATTGCATATGCCTGACACTCTCAAGATATTCAGCATACCAGCCACACAGTAAAAATTCACTCTCATGTACCTTGTGAATCTGAGTGGTTTGTGTCATACCATAGCAACCAGTGTCAGCATGTAGAGATTACATGTTTCAGGGCACACATAAATAATCCCCAGAGATTAAAGCGAAAATGATTTCAAAATTCTGCACAATTTGTTCAGACTTGAGTTTGGCACACAAAAGCACAACAACACACTGCTTCACCACACCAGTGTCACATAGGCATCCAGTGTGGTGCATGGATGTTTCACAGACTGGTATGCATGTGCCTACATGCTGTTGTTTGTTGGATGTTATATCACACTACAAGCATAAATGGCATCAAGATGCCTAGGCTATCTTTGGGATTCTTAAAACAAAAAAAATCAGATACACTTACCAATTATCTTATTGAAAATGTATGCCCCTATTGAAAGAATAAGAAATGCTTGATCCCAGTTATTAAAGGTGACTTGTGGTCTTTTGTCTTCCTCCTCACGTTGCTTCTTTTTGTCCACAATTTCCATGTCATTAAATTCACTTCAATTTCATGCACCGGTGCCTTTTCATCGCCACTTAATCCACAAACGCGCAACCGCGCTAAAGCTCTATTCTATGCCACTGTAATTTTTGTTGTCAGAATCCACGCACAAAACCACCGCACTCACGACCCTTATCATAAAGGCGTCCACCTTATCCAGGACACAAGGCACAGAATTTTGCAGAAAACTGCAGCCTCGCAAAAAAACGGTGACCACAATCCCTATGGTTCTTCGCGAATAGCTTGCAACCAAACGAAGTGCGTCACCAATGCCGAAATATTTGAGCTATGCGCCGTTTTCCCTGCTTCTTCTTTGTAAGGGCTACCCCAAGAGGAGCGTAGCGGTTTCGTTGGACGACTCAACGCCCTCACTGCGCCAGCCTGGGGCCGGAGCAACGCCGTTGGCACGACTCGTGTCCAACTCCAGCTGAGTAAAGCAAGCACTGACTAACTCACGGCAGGCAGAGTTGAATCCTGCTCTGATTTTACTCCGAGTTTTAGAGACTCGTACTGCGAGCATACTCGACTCCCTCACCTGACCCCGGCCGTCCAGGAATACATAGTCTATGATTGCAGCCCAAGAAACTACACCAGCCGCCTCAAGAAAATTTGGCCAGTTGCATGGCGTATTCAGAGGGATTTGATTCAAATCGTCCATTGGCATTGATGTAGAACAATGGCTACCAGTTGGATCCCTGCAGAAGTCTACGGTGACCACTCCGGCACTTCAGGGTATGCACCTTACCTTACCTTACCTTATGGTGATCGGGAATTATAAAAGGCCACTAGGCCTGTAGGTCCCGGTCTCGTCAGGCTCCTGGGCCGGCAACCAAACGGTCTCAATTTATGGGAAGATTCAGTGTGGGACGTCGTACATGATGTCAGCCCAGTGCGTATCAAGCCTAGACTTGAACTGTTCAACTGAGGTCGACGACACGACCGGGTGTGGAAGAGCGTTCCAGTCGTTGACAACCCGCGTGCTGAATGAGTTACGACGGACGAGAGTCCTAGCTCGAGGTTTTCTGAGCTTCCGCTGGTGTCCTCTCGTCACCACCGAGTTGTGCCTTGTCAGGAGCTCCTCTTCCGACAGCGACTTACCTCCGTGAAACAGCTGGTACACTGTCACCATGTCTCCCCTGCGACGAAGATAGTACAGCGAGGGCAACTGAAGGAGTCTGAACCTCTCAGGGTATGACTGGGGCCTCACCTCATAGCCAAGCCGGGTAGCTCTCGCTGAACCCGTTCCAGCCGCTTTTGGTCCAGTTTGCCGAACGGGCCCCAGACAACGTTGCCATACGTTGATCTTAGTACGGACGTACTAAGATCTTAAAAAGCAATGGCAACGTGCAAGCATCGATATTGGCAAAAGACCACCTCACGACCGCCAGCATCTGGTTAGCCTTGTAGATCGCTTCCGCCGTCTGCACGTGGAACTGGAGCCGGTAATCCACGAAGATCCCGAGTTCCTTCTCGGCGGACTCGACCGCGATCTCGGCGCCGTCCAAGAAGTACGTCAGCCTCGGGCTGCAGTTCCCGATGTGCATTATTTTGCACTTTGCTGCACTAAAGGGGAGCAGCCACTCCTTTGACCACTTGGCCAGGGCGTCGAGGTCAGCTTGCAAGGGTGAGTTGGTCAGGGGCCTCGGGACACGACAGTAGACCTTGGTGTCATCCGCAAACATCTTGACCACGCTTCGCGCTTGTTCTGACAGATCGTTCACGAAAATTATGAACAGCGTTGGTCAAAGTACTGACCCTTGCGGGATGCCGCTGACGAAGTTGTTCCGGTCCGACTTCGAGCCCTGGACCCGCACTCTCTGCATCCGGTGAGTAGGAAAAGCCCTGATCCAGCGTAGCAAGTTACCTCTCACACCGTAAGCACGAAGCTTGGCGAGCAGACGGTTATGGGTATTACACGCATCGTTGATGTCGCGTTGTCGCGGCCATAGATGTAAATTGTAATTGAGTTGCCTCTACCCCGACTCTGTAGTGAAAGTTGATTCAGCTGTAGTTCCAAAGCGTTTCCAACGGAGTCAACCCCACCTTGACACAAGCAAATTTCGCCTGACCCCGGGTCAGCCGTGAACCAGAGGCGGACGCAGGTTTGGTTGATACTTAACATGACAAAGGTGATTTCTCGTAATAAAAAACGGGCCCGTCCAAACCGACACACGGCAAGTGCATCAGGTACGCGAGTGAACAGGCGGCTGCTGCAGACGTTCAACCTGTGCCGTCCAATCTTCTTCATCAACGCTGGATGTTTTGAGCCCCAAATGAACCGGGAGACAAAACCAAACAGTCGGTACATTTGGCCAGCCATGAACGCATTAGGACACGCCCTCTTAAGGACGACGCCGGAATGAGGCGCTAAAGAGGGCAGTCCAACGTTTCTAAGAACGCGGAACGGGAAACGACCGATTAATTTACAGGACAATTCACTAGCACAGAAGGGGTGCTGCCGTACCGGAGGGAAAAATAGGCAAGGCTCCAGGGCAATTGTCCGTTGCCCCCCCCCCCCCCCCCCCCCACCCCTAACGCGTCCGCCTACTTAGGCCGTCAGCGTCAAAACGCCCGGCGAACACACATGGCGCGGTCAGGCATAGCAGGATAACCATATCATGTAACCATTTATTTGTCAGTCACCATGTTCAGCCCTCAATTCAACAGACTTTTCCCATCAAGGACTGGAGACGTCACAGGAACCACCGATTATATTTCCGTGGCGCCATCTGTGGATGACATCACGAGGTAGAGCTTCCGACTCATTTCCTTGCCGACACGACGGGAGCTGACGAGCGGGCCGACCGTCCTCCGAATGGGCAGGTCAGCCACCAGGGCCTGGCGCTCTTGTTCAGACAGGCACGCTGCATAGGCCTGAAGCAGCATGACAAGCATCAAGATGCAGCTCCCTAACACCTTACCTGGCTTGCAGACTTCTGACAAATTCGGTTTGCAAGCTTTCCAATGACATTTGATTGATTTGAAGAAAACGGTGGGTAAGCTTGGGCTTCCGTGTGCCTTGCATGTAATGCTCCAAGTCGGTCTGACCTTAATGAACTGGTGCTGCACACTTGCGTCTGTCTTAAGTGCAGCCAAGTAACAAGAAATAGTGCATGACTCCAGATGGGACTACTGCATCACTGATGGGAGTACTAGCCTTCAGACTGCTTTACCACGCGACAACAGATCAGTGGCAGAGTATTCGAGTGCGCAGCAGTGCACAGCCATGTGCCACAGTAAGGTCACGGCAACGTAGCCATCTGCGAGCGTCTGATGCCCTGCCGGCCAGCGGCGGCCGTCCTCGGCCATCTGTACCTTGATCAGCGCCTGCGGGCTGGGGTAGACGTCAGCCACGGCCTGGGCGGCCTCGAGCGAGCCGCCGGGCAGCTGGCGCAGCTGCTCCGCCCAGAGCCGGCGCAGGCCGCGCTGCTCGCGGTCCACCTTCACCGGGCGCGCCGAGTCGGCCTCGGCGAACCACGAGAACTGCGGCTCGGCGCGGCGCCGTCTGCCGGCGCAGACCCGGCGGCACGCGTCATCATCGGACGCCCCCCCCCCTCTCCCCTTACTGAACGACGCTGGCCGACGCCGCGGACGAGGCCCAGCCGCGTTGCGAGTACACCAGGCTGGTACAAGTCATCCCGAGGGTTGTTTTCGACAACAAAAAAGCTTAGTTGGGAACTGTGAAATTTCATTTTTCTTATTTTCATTACAGTTTTAGCGACACGCAACCACATACGCCTCGAATATTTAACGATATGAATGACGTATGAACCACTTGCACAAAACTGAAATGTAAGACGATTCAGTTTTAAAATACAGCACATTGCTCCATATTTGCCTGCTGACGTCAATTCGTCTCTTACTTGAATGGTGCCTCCGCGATGGCTTTGGACATTTGAGCCAGAAACTCTCCGCCGTCTGTTGGTGAATTGACGAATCTGAAGTTGTGCGGGGTGTCCAACAGGGTGTCAACGAGAACGGCTTCCATTTGCAGCCGGTCCAAATTGGGAGCTCCTTTTCTGCGGTTCCCTCCACCATTTCGCACCGCCTCGCCCTTCTTGTAGCTACCCGCCATTGGCTTTGTCCTGAAAACAACACTGTTTTGGAACGGGCTCGGAGTAGATATCCATTGTATTTGCCGGAGTTGGCAACATCTCAGGCTACCCAAGAACCTGGATAAGCTGGGACTGTAATCCCAAAAGCCATCCCTGCAAAATACCACAACCAATTATACCTAGCAACACACACGTCAGGTGATTAGCACCCGCCTGCGGAGTTTGTCCAGACCCCAGCACAGCACCGTCACCACACGTCAGGTGATCAGCACTCGCCTGCGGAGTTTGTCCAGACCCCAGCACAGCGCCGTCACCGTCTTGCCCGAGCTCGAACCCAGACCTCGCACGGCGGCCGTGAGACCGCGCGACGGGTCCGCCGTCTGCTCTTCGATCAAAGAAGCCATGGCTTCGGCGGCGTACACGGCGACGATCTGGTCTTCCGGTTCGCGAGTCGTTCTGGAAATTATCTGAAACAGCGCAGCGACGCTGGTCACGAGTCTTGAGCACAAGCTTCGACATAACACTTTGGCGGATCTTACTTTACCGCGTGCGTTCAACGTACTTGCGTGACTGATTTCGTTTATTTTACCCTCAGTCAAACTAAGCCTACGTAATCATATCAAGACATACCGATAACGCAGCGTTAGTGGTGATAGAGTATTTCTGTTTGATCCTCAGCTTATGGCGTACAATATGGAATGCAAAAAGGAATTATTGAGTTGAAAGGACTTAAGTGAGTTACGTGCAAATTACAACATGGCCAAAAAGCCAACTCAAATGGCCCAAGCCAAAGCCGCCCTCTTCGGCCGACATCAAAGCCACAGCTGCAGTCTGACCTCGCCGTCGACCTCGCGCCAGCTGGTGACGTCACGCTCCCAGGTGATTGTGCCGGGCTGCGGCCGGGCGGTCACGTGGACCACAACATCAGTGGTCTGCAGGGCGGCTAACACCTGGCCGCCACCCTCCAGCTCGAGCAGGTGCGGGTCCACCAGCACGTGCAGCGACTGAGAAAACGCTCGGGTGAGGTGCGTGCTACACCTGAGATGCGTCAGAATACGGTCTTTAGACGCTCAGAGGGTGGTGGAGACATACAACCGAATTGCATCCCTTGGTGACGTTAATAGTGGAATCATCTACAATTTCAATTTGGCTTTGCTTAAATCCAATAAGATCCTTTCCGGCTGCCACGTGGGCTGAACCATTCCGCCTGTGCAATGTCTCCGTGCTTACGCCTCAAATCTGGCGCGCGCCTTGAACAGCTGCCCCACGTTCACCTTTTGACAGTGTTCGGGCCGAACGCTGCGCTTCGCGGCCGCCTCCGCCTGTCGAAGCCGTTTTCTCCAGCTCCTTTTGGCGCTTGGCCTCCTGCCGCTGTAGCTGGCGCTGACGCTTGGCCTCAGCAGCGGGCTGGGGGTCCCGGCCAGCGGCGGCCGAGGCGGGCCGCGATCGCCCCGGCGGCGGCGGTGCCGACGGTGGCGGAGAATGCAGGGGGTGTGTCGGCGCAGGCTGGGAGGATGCTGAAGAGTGCTGGGAGTGTGGCAGGTGGTGTGGTGGATAGTCCTGTGGATGGAGTGGAGAAAGTTTGTGCTGTTGCAATGAGTGTTGGGAGTGTGGCCGAGTATGTTGCAGGAGTGGCGGGGAGAGGTGGGAGTGTAGTGGCGAGTCATCCAGCTGCGCAGGTGGTGTCTGGTGAGAGCTGAATGCACTCTGGTGTGCCTCCTTGCTTCTGAAGGATGATGGCTGTGGGGATAGTGCCGGGATATTTACTGATGATTCACGCAGACAGCTCAGGATTACTGGTGAATCCAGTTACTTTTAGCAGGAAGCGATTTGTTGGCCTGATGTATATCATGCACTATTCAACACCTGACTTACAATACTGAACAATTTGTTAAGCAAATGCAGCATGACTAAAACATCACCATATGCAAACGAATTGCCTGCTAGAAAAATTATGTTTGAATGTGAGGTTAAATTTGGCATCAATAGTATGAATTCCATAAAGGCATGATAAAACAGCATGCAAGAAAACTGAGCTCCAGAATGCTATTATGGTGTGCTTCAAAAACAGTGATTGGGAATGTAGGAAAGCCAAAAATGTATGTGTATTGCAAAACAAGAAGTTGCATCAAAATCCTAAACATCCAGTGATTCTGTAGCATACTGACCTGTCTGTGACTAGCCTCACTCTCATCCTCTGAAGAAGATTCTATGCTGATTGGGTCTGCACAACTGCTACCAGTAGAACCTTTTGATGCTTGCAATCGAGCATACAGTGGAACATACTGCCTGTTGAAGAACATGTGCTCCATGTGGATTAAAATCTTAATGGAGCTGGGCGTGAAGTAATGTGCTAAACATTGCTGATGCACCAAAGGAAAATACATAAGAATTATCCAAATGATGCATGAATTTTTTACATCTTGGAGCTTTGCATTGCTGCCATGCAGGGTGCCATGGTGAGGATTGAGGCATCTGGGTCACCAGACAGTAATTTTTCTAGAACAACTTATATGTAGGTATGGCACTCTCCTGACCCATTTATTTTTGCTAAAGATCACTTTAAAATACAATTACTCAATGTGTAGGCCAGGGCAAAGTAAATTTATTTCTTTGCACACACACATTTTGTTAAAACAGCACTGTGTTCACCAGAAACATCTTAATGACAAATTGAGCTTTTGGTACGTCGTCAATCAAGTGCTTACCCATCTGAGTCATCAGAGTCTGACATCGCGTGAGCTTTGCATTCCATTTACACGGCTAACTTCTATACTTCAAGTCACAAACACGACCTAACGCGTTCGTTTTTCTTGGTTTACGCTAACAAGTACTGTAAATGTACCCAACGCACTGAACCGCATTCCTCGTCCTGTGCTCGGCTTCGATTTGCCCGCCAAAGATGTTTTTATAGGCCAAGTACGAAACAGTTGCGTCGTGAACAGTTGTAAGTGGCTCTACCATATCTGATATTTTTAGGACAAAGGGTTTCGGATGAGTATTTAAAGCACACCCTCAGAAATCCATAACAAAAACATATTTTTGAGACGTAATTTTGTCCTTTATTTCATGAATGTTCAAGTCATCTTTAATTTTACCTTTGATTTCTTGATAGTTAAATTATGCTTTCTGTCTGATCGGGGTCTGCATACCAAAAATTATGTCTGTTACTTCGAGTTTGGAAACACCGCAGGTCACACAAACCATCATGGCAGCGCCCGTGCGAGTTGTCGCTCTGGGACAGAAGTTGGTTAGGTTTCACAATGCAAGGACAGCATTCAATGTCATTCACCGGTAAGACAAGGGGAAGATGTTTGCTTGAAGTTAAGGTAAATACATGCCGCCATTATCCTTGGTTGAACATAGTACGGCTATGTGGCATGTAGCCCGGGCCCTTTGTCGATGTTAATGATTATGTAATGTCAAAGCCGTGATGCCAATCTGCACGTCAATCCTTAAATCTGGAGGATGTGTGCATAGAACTCATGTTAGGTCAACTGGTGCTGAATTTTCAGACGAATTCTGTTAGGGATGACAGGATATTTGTGTTCAAACTTTCTAACCAACATCATAGCTCCTTGAAACAGCAGCTCCATGTGGTGAAGTTTTGGTGAACAAGCGCTTAGCTCTCAAGTCTTACAATACATGGTGTGGATATACCAATGCTCCTGTTGCAATATTGCTGTGACACCAGATATGTTCAACATAACATGCATATGTCAGTCTGCCTTTAATGAATTTTACTTGCTTGTAGTTAACTTACTTCCATGTCATTTGGCTAATAATGATCATGTCTAGCTCATGCAATTTGTTGTAATTAAGATACAGCTATGCTGCAATTGAGCACTGCTACATTTTAAGTTGTTATGATATAGTGTCTCTCCATGTACTGACCTGATTGAATCAGTGGTTGGTTTATATGTGATAACCCATTTTGAATCAGTGGTTGGTTTATGTGTGATAACCTATTTAGAATTCATAATATCTCCAATAGGAAAATTGGTGCTCTGAAGTTTTATTTTCACTTCAGCTTCTTCTGTTATCAGATCACATTTTATCTCCAAGTGTCTTTGTATTCCTGTTGCAGAGTGATGGAAATTAAAGTGATGATATTTGATGAACCTTTTCCCTCTGTTGTATGCAATCTATACAGGTTTAAATAATAGAAGACATGCCTGACAAAGCAGTAATTGTTTAAGGCTTATTTTAGAGCAGTGCACTATGCATGCTATCTATGTAAGCAGTGCATTGATCAAGCTTAGCACAGGATTGCATCAGCAAACTTATTCAGAAGACCAGAAGCTACAAGCATGATTAAGAAGGTGTGGGAGTTTAGGAAGTTTTGATGGGTCCAACAAAATCTGGTAGAATAAGTGTAATGTATTCATGAGTGCTTAATTCAGGCAGGGCCTTCTCTGCAAATTTTCAACAGTTCTTCACCTGCCTTATACTTTTCAACCCACACCCACAGTCTTGGCCACGAGTTCCACAGCAAACAATCCTTTCTTGGGGAGTGGCCTGGTGCTATCATGGGTCATCACATCTCATATCTAAGGGTGGTAAAGAGGCCAGGCACCCCATACCCATCAGTATACAAATATGTCCACATACTCAGCTCCAGAAAGTTGTTTTATGATCCCAGCTGTTTTTTGTCAGATTACAAAGGACAAGGCTTAAATTATTATGGCAGCTTGAAGAGAAAGATATTGAACAATAACAACATAACTATCACCCTCAAATCACAGCTCACAACTAGAAGCTAATAGGAAACTTTCACTTATTTACAGGGTTATAGAATAAGGTCCTTGCAACCCTCTGGCTACACTGTTGTGTATACAGTTTGCTTTGCATCTTTTACCTATTTTGAATGTAATGGTCCAGGTCAGCTGTAAGTTTTGGATATTCTTATGAGTTGTGACCACCTAGTCAATGAAAGCTCATGTGCACTTTTAGCATGAGTATCTGGTGGGATTATCTATCTGGTTTTGACAGTGTCAGGTACGTTCATGTTTGTTAATTGGATG